CCCGCCTCGGCCTCCCAAAGTGCTGGGATTACAGGCGTGAGCCACTAATTTATTTTTTAAGAAATGCCCACTCTTGGTCAGGCACAATGGCCAACACCTATAATCCCAGCTTTTTAGGAGCTGAGGTGGGAGCATCACTTGAGGCCAGGGGTTCAAGACCAGCCTGGGCAACATAGGGACACCCTGTTTCTACAACAGATTTTAAAATTTGTTCAGGACATGACTTCATTACAGCATTTAAACCTGTTGGGGGGCAGGTGTTTGTTTTAATTTGTGCTGCTTTGTGTGAGGTAAGGTGGTGTAGCTGCCTGGGACTCAGCAGTGATACTGCAGAGTGTAGTTGCCTGGTCCAAATCCCATCTTCACCTTCCCAGCTGTGTGATCCCAGGAACATCCCATCGTCTCCCTGTGTCTCGATTTCCTCCTCCGTTAAAAATGTCAGGCATTTTTCTGAGTGCTTCTCCCCCAGGAGCACCCACGCCCTCCTAACAGTGCTGGTGGGCAGATGCTCTCACAAGGCCCCCTCCACAGTATGTGACTGGGTGTACCGTGGGTTGATACTGGAATGAAATGAAGGCAGGCTTGTGCTTTAAGTAACTTGAATGATATAAGCTTTTTTATTGTTCCTTTAGTGGGGTTTACATTCAGTTGCTATTGAGTTATAAAATACCAGGGACATAATCGTGGCTGATCTGAGCTTTCTGAATGAACAGCCCGTCAGCGCATAGCCAGCTATTGCCTTTGGGAGCGCCTTGTTTGCCTGTAAAAATGTGTAGGAAGGCAGTGGTGTGCTGTCATGGGCTCCTGTGTTGTTTTTGAAAGTCTCAATATTTTCCATATGTGCTTTTCTTGGATTAGATATCCAAGAGAAAGAAATGTTTGTTTAAACAAAGGTGTTAATTTTCTGTGGTTCCTTGATGTTTGATTTGTGGGATCTGCCTTCCAAATTCCTTTCCCCTCTGGCTAGCGATATGTTTTCCCAGGGCTATCTCATTGACACACGGTGATTTGACTTCATTTCTATGCGTGGGAAGCTTCCATGTACTGAGGTGCTTACACTTTGCATTGGAATTATGTTTCTTTAATTTCCTTTCCTCTGGTTCCAGTGTTCTCTTTTTTAAATCCCTTTTTGAAATCTCTTGTATGTTGTGCCGTTTAATAGTCGTGCATTTCAGTTTCATATGATGCCGTATGAACTCTTGTTAGAGAAGGACTATATATAAAATTCCCTACAGCAGCAGCAGCAACAACAAAAAGTCATGGACTTTGTAAGGGAGGAGACCTAGATCTGTGAATAGAGATAATTAAGACCATTCATGTCTCAGATCTGTGCTGTTCAGCATGGTGCCAGTAGCCACATGTGCCTATTTAAAGGTAATTTAATTTTAGAAAATTAAATAAAAATTAAGATTCACTTTTGTAGTTGCACTAGCCACATTTCTAATGCCCAGGAGCCCCTGTGGCTGTGGCAAGCGCTGGACAGCTTGGCTGTGGAATGCGTCCACCCCACAGAAGGTGCTAGGAGATGATAGGTCATGTCAAGACCGCAGACACTTAGGGCACCCTTTTTAACCAGGTGTGTTTTCTACTGCAGATGAGTTCTATTTCACCTAAAGAAATGTTTCACCTAAAGACAAATACTGCTCAGTATTTGTCTGGGACTGCCAGAACAGAGTTACATTGTTTGCAGCCAGTGAGGACTGTTTCAGATAAGCATTTCATTTTCACTGATAGTTTGTCCGTTCTTAATATCTGGGTCTTCAAAACAGGCTGTGTCATTCTTACTCTAGCTTGAGCCTGGATCCAAGTGTTTGGAGAATTTGTGTTTTCAGCAGCTTTTTACTGAAGCAGTTGGCCTTCTAAGTGCATTGCTGTGTGTCACCAGTGGTAGCCTGAGTTTTTTGTCTTGTGATTTCTTTCCCACAGCTATAAAAGTGGCCTGTAATCAATAGTAAAGTCTTGTCAACAGCATGTTTCTGTATTCATTTAAGGAATAATTTGTATCTAGGAATGATTTTCCCACTTTCTTTGGTTCGACCTTCTCCTGTTTCAAGTCAACAAGTAAGAACGCAGACACTCCCTAGCGGTGCAGTCTCATACTGAAATGACTCTGCTGTTGGAAATGCCAGTGTGGCTCTATAGGAACTTCTGCCTGCCTGAGTGCCTGACGTCTGTGCCACCGCTCTAAGCAGGTAACCACAAGTGGGTCTGTCGAGAGTTTGAATTTGTTGGCAAACAGAGAAGGCGACTGAATGAGCCACGGCAGGTCTCCTGGTCCGTATACACAGATGTCTTCGACGTAGTGGCCTGCAGAAAGAAACAAAAACCTAGCTGCCTTTGTCTTCTCACCCATTCTGCGTGCACAGAAAGTGGCTTTGTCCATTGCCATGTGTGAGCCTCAGCTTCACCACAATTCACATCAAACAGCATTCCATGATTGCTTTGACAGGGGCTTTTATGTTGAATTTTGAGCTTACGGTGGAAAGGGATGCCTTCATTTTTTTTTTAGTGATTTCTAAAATCTTTGTTAGTCAATACGTTAGGTGAATACCATGAAATTTCAGCTCATCATGGGCACAACGGAGATGAGTTAGCACTCATCTGTCTGATAAAATCTCAATTCTGATGG